GAGGGCAATGAATGTACAAATGCGCTTTACACAATTGATGTATGTATGGATTGTGATAAGAGTTGTATGAACTCCTAATACAATGATTAAAAAAAAAAAAAAGAAAAGCCACTGTAGACAGCACTGACTCCACGGCCGGGAGCTTGGTTTGATTTTGGTTAGTCAATTTAGAATATTTCCAATGATCAAAATATACACATGACCTTTTATATGTAACATTTACCTGCCCCCACAGGCAGCCACAGTACGACTCCTGGAAGGAGGCTCATGCAGAGGGTACCTTTAGTGTCGGCCTTCTTTTGACGAAGTGCTTCCTGGGTTTGTTTTTGGAGCTCATCCGTCATTGTATTAGGGGCTCACTCCTTTCCTTACTTGTGGCCAGTCTGACATCGGGAGTTCCTGGGGGTGCACAGGGTTAATGCACACAGCTGCTGTCCAAGAGGTTGAAGGTTCAAGTCCACCTAGGGCACCTGGAAGAAAGGCCTGCTGATCCGATTTAGTCACTAACGATTCTCTGGAGCACAATGAGTGAGTGGCACACATGGGGTGATTATGAGATGGAAGCAATTCGACAGCACCTGTTGCCTATTTTTATCATTCCCTCAATTTATTTATCCATTCACCTATTGAATATTTGGGTAATATTTAGTTTTTGACCATCAAGAATGATGCTGTTATAAATATATTTAAAAAAATCTAGTAAGTGAACAGCTTTGGCCAAAAGTTCAAATATTTTCTCCTGGTAACTTAAAAAGTGATCATTGTGGTAAGAACAGACACAACAGAAACCATAGCAACTCAATAATTTCTACAGGTATAAATCAGCAACATTGCCTAGAGTCTTCAAGTTATGTAACTCTTCTACCTAATTACTTTCATTTAAAGTGAATTTATTGTGAACTGGTAGGGGACTTACATTTCAGATAATCCATTTTGAATGGAACAGTTTAAACTACTTCGCAAACCTCCCAATAACTAGCCCTCCCCCCCACCCCCCATCGATGTCTCCTCTCTCTCATGGATTACTGTTTTCCCCTTCAGCAAAATTCATCCCATGAACCCCCTAGTCCAGGACTTCATCTTTCCTCTTGTGCTTTGGTTGGATCATGGAAATAAAATCGCCATCTAACGGATTCTGATAATTTGTTCCTGCAAATGTATTAGACTAGACTTATACTAGGGACCTCCAAAACATTTGTGGGAAAATGTCATTATCGTTTAATCCCATTTTCCATGAACTTTTTGATGCCCCCTTGTGTTATGAATTAGTTAACGTTCACAACCTGCTTTTAGGGGGCATCCTTATTTTAACTCAACGCACATTAGAGTGAGCAGGACCCAAGTTTCCCCGAGTGTTCATGGAACACCAGTGTTGGTAGACAAGACGGATCTGGGTGACGCATGAGTCATGTGTCTAATAGTTGAATGCTCACTTTTTGGGGCTAGCTTTTATTTCTGGTAAGTAAAAATGGTTTCGCTTAGAGAAAGGAGTCCTGGTGGCAGTTTGGATGCACCCACTACTCTTTGAGAAAGATGAGATGAGGCAGGTTTCTGAAAGGACTGTTGCCTTGGAAACAGTATGGGACTTCTACCCTTCCACCTTGCCGTATGGAGCTCTGGTGGCTTGGTGGGCTCGTGTCAGGCTGTTCCGCTGTTTGAAACCACGTCACTCTTCACTGCCGTCGAGCTCCGGGCGCAGCCACCCATGGCACACTCCTCGTCGGTGGGTCTCTGAGTCGGGATTAACTCAATGGCAGTGATTTGGTTTGGCTCTGGAGCTGTTCGGCAGGGTCACTAAGAGTCAGCGTTGACTTGATGGCAACAGGCTTTTGGTTTCTCTGTCATTTAGAGTGCTGATAATTTCCTCTGGCAAATGGAGGTCACCGTTGCAATGTTCTCAATACATGAGGGTTGAGTTGAAACCTAGTTGCCTGATTCTTAAAAACCCTGGCGTTAGGGTGCAGTCTAACACCGATGAAACACAAACATTCCTCTAGTTCTTTAATGCTTCCTACCCCCAACTCTCATGACCCCAGTTCTGTCTTACAAATCCAGTTGGACCGGAGCATGTACCGGTAAGAGTTCTCGACACAGAATCCTGGACAGATAAACCCCTTAAGAACAGTAATGGGAGCGGTGATACCATGAGGGTAGGGGGAAAGGTGGAAGGAGAAGGGGGAGAAAGGGGGGAAATGATCTCAATGATCTATGTATTAACAGCCCCCCCCACTCCAGGGACGAACAACAGAAATGTGGATGAAGGGAGACACCGGATGGTGTAAGATATGAAATAATAATTGGTAATTGATCAAGGGTTCATGAGGGTGGGAGAGTGGGGGAGGGAGGGGGACAAAGGAGGAGCTGATACCAAAGGCATAGAAAGAAAATGTTTTGAAAATGATGGCAACATATGCACAAATGTGCTTGCTACAATTGATGTATGGATTGCTTTAAGAACTGTAAGCGCCCCCAATAAAATGATTTATAAAATATCAACAACAACAAAACAATCCTGGCATTATGGTTAGACACACCATGGCTGACCCTCCTCAGGCACGCATGTTACTCTTCCAAGTTCGCTTCAGGGTCTGTCAGCTGGGATCGTTGTACAGACTTCGCGTTTGCTGTTCCATGTGAGGGGCAGGGATAATGCATGTCCTGTTCTTAGCACATAATGATGCTCCCTCGTGAACTCTGGATATTTCAGTCCAATCACCAGCAATAGACACTGACAACCAACACTGAAGCCAAGGGTTAACTGAAAGAGTTACAAACTATGAGGTCTTCATGTTTTAATCAATGGCTATAACTTTAGACAACTGGGCATCTCAAAAACAAAACTCACTGCCATCGAGGGATTCTGACTCATAGTGACCCTCTGAGTAGAGGAGGGCAGGAATGTCCCCGTGGGTTTCTGACACTGTGACTTTTCACAGAAGTACACAGTCCCATCTTTCTCCCGAGGAGTACCCAGTGGTTTCGAACTGCTGACCTTGTAAGTTAACAGTCCAGTGCATAACTACGACACCACGAGGCCCAAAAAACAACCAGCAAGGAAAAAAAAAAAACAACAACCAAGTACACACACAACGAAAGAAAAACCTCACATCTCTTTGTGACATTTATCAGACAGCACAAACATGGCTCTCAGTCTCAAGAAATGGGCTTTACAAGACATTGATCTTCAACCTTGTCTTCTTCATCCATATGCCTTTATAGCCCTATTAGTATGTCTGACTGGAGGCGCAATGTGGATTTTCTTGCAAACCCAATTTAGGTCAGTTGTTTCCTGTTCCAGGGGAGGACCTGGGCCGCCTGGGGCACTGCAAGCAACAGTCAGTTGCAGCCAGCCTGCACAGGCCACCCAGGCTCCTGCGTTTCCCTGGCCCTCTGCACGAGGGCCTTCCACCTCAACTCAGTCATGGAAACGTCAGGTTCAGGGAAGCCAGCAACTCAAACTCCAAAAGACACCAGACATTTAAAAAGTCCCGAGGCCAGTGGCTGGGGGGAAATTCAGCAACTTCCGCTATCCAACAAAGGCTCAGGTAGTTTGCCTCCAGGAGCTGACTCAGGCATCGTTTCAGAAAACCTGCCTCAGAAAGCTGCTCTCTCCTGCTTGAACTTGTATTTGCATTTCATGTTGGATCCTACTCTAGGGGGTACAACCCACACAGCGAGGAAGAGCAGTTTCCTTTGGGTCCCGTTCCAAATACTCGTAATCACAAGGGCTGGCGTTTAATCTATGATTCACACGATGATTATAGACAGACGGTGCCAAAGTCAACATTGACGGGTGAAACCTGCCACATGGATTGTTCCCCAGCTTTCTATGGAAGATGCAGGATGCAGTTCGTGTACCACTCTGTTCAGTATTACCGAGACCCTAACTGCTGTATCCCTGGGCCTCCCCCTCCCCAACTCCTACTCCAGCAGTCACCGAATCTCATGAAATGACTCAGCACAGGAAGCATAGCGATTAGGTTTATGACATTGGTGGCAACAAGATAAAACCATTCTTTTTTATGTAGAGATTTTCTTATTAAAAATGATGCCCAAAGGAGCCTTTGTCAGTTTAGTTAGGGGCGGGGCTGCTGGATGTAATTTCTGTTAGGTAAAAACCCACCACCCACTGTAGCCGAATGGATTCCAAGTCCCAGAGGAGACGGGCTCCCTCGGGCTCCAAGCCTGTGTCTCTGTGAAAGCAGCTGGCTGCAGCGGTCACCTGTAGGCAAGGGCCTTCTCGTGAGTGCACGCACATGCACACGCACACACAACACACACACACAACTGTCGAGTAATACCTTAGATCCAAACAGACCGTTCCTCAGAAACGAAAGTCTACGGTACAAAGAGGAGCAAAGTTCCCAGCCCTGGCCTTGGAGACGGAAGGCCGCCTAGCCCACTGTCTTCACTGTACCCAACTGGGGCACGCCTAGGAGAGTTAGAGGATTACAGCCAAGCTGTGTCTGACATGCAGTTAGATCGACATTATGGAACCTGCTCTTCCACATTACATACGGAAAACTACGAAGGACAAAAAAGAGGACAGGGAACAAATCTCCAAGGGTGAAATGTCCACATTTATTTCTCGTCTATGTGCATAGAAAATGGCAGTGAAGTGTCCTATGTAAGAGGCAGGGAATGGGCATGGCACAGCGGAAAGCAGACTGGACTTTGTGCTTCAGCAGTTCACTGCTCATCTTGAAAACAAAGGATGCTGCCGGTGGTTCTACTTGCTAACGCTTCCTCGGGTTTCCCACGTGTGTTGTAAGCCGTCACTGTCTCCAACTCTCTTCAAACGACACACTGCATTACAAATGATGGCACTTAACCAATGTGGCATTTCCATATGTACACCAACCGAAGAAATTTACAAGACATAATAGCATACAATCTTGACATTTAGTAATAGCAATAAAACATGTAGGGCATCCATTTAATTTTTTTTCTGTACAAACTATCAGAACATAACTTTATTCACATTAAAAAAATCATCTTTAATTTGATTTGACCTACACATCCCCCATCTCATTTCACCCATTTCTCAAGCCTCTCATCACGTACGTCGCCCACACCTTCACCAGACTACAGAATCTACAAGTAGTTACACCTAACGTCTAAATAGAAGGTAGAAAGTCCTCTCTCCCAAAGATTCCCTCACTTCCCTGATAATTCCTCAAAAAAGAAAATAAAGAAACATTTGCTCTTCACTCCTTCCTTTCATTTCACGTTCACGGTCACCATCGACTCAGCAAGATGGGCTTCCCATCGCAATCCAAACAATGGTCCAGAGCGTCCCTCTCCCGGCACGTCGATGCTACACCCACGAGTCTGGGGACCCTGGGTACTGTTCGGCTCTGTAAGAAGGTTGTTTAGTGGAGTAAAAGTCTACGTAATTGGTGGTCGACTTCAGTCCATACTGTGAGGAGTAATCAGTAGACGCTGGGAAGTGGACACGGTCGTCAAAATAAGGATCTTCATAGCTATGAGGAGACTGTAAGTACAATCGGTATGCATCAAAGTTCTTTCTGCTGGGGTCATCCTGCGTGTAACACAACTGCTGATGCTGTTGACAAAACGAGACACCAACGTAAATGAAACAAGCGTTCAAAGAAAATAAACGTGTGCGTCCTGCTTCACATTTTTAAAGCAATATGTGCTATGTAAGGACTTTGGAGGTAAAGGCTGTTTCTGGTGAACACATGCTTGCTAGTGGACCTGCACCTCTACAAGGCGGGCTGTCCAGGTGCAAACCGGGCCCCAGGGGAGCTCCAGACCTCAGAAGCAGGTGGGCCTGGCTGCTCCTCTCCTTAGTAGCAGGGGCCCTCTCTGTGCTGTGCAGAGGGCCCGCATCAACAGAACCATGTGCCTGAGTTTTGCCCTGTGCCACAGGGCAAGAGTTCAGAGAACTATGTGGCTTGGTGAACAACAGGGGCACGCTGGACGCGCTGCTCTGAGCTGAGACTATTAAAGGAATAAGCCATCCCAGGCTGGCAGTCAACCACAAGCAGCATGTGAGCACACAGTCCTGGACTGGACCTCTGGGACTAAGCGAGACCTCCTGCAGGAAAGGCTTCTGGAGCCGGAGCTCCCACATGGAGCTAAGCTGTGAGGAAGGCGAGTGGACACCCCCAGAAGGGCCCTGGCCTCCTGTCCTCTTTGTGTGCAGCCCGACCTCCGAGCGCCTCCCAATTTCCTCAAACGTCTCTGGCGGGAAACTGTCATGGTGCTCACATTTTCCTTCTCTGACCACACCCGTCTTCCCACTTTGTAAAGGGTCACAAAGTTGTCTGCAGTATGGTCCACAGCTAAACACATTCTAAGGAAAATTTATAATGTAAAGGAACAAAATTCCTTTAACGTTAGATTGGTGGGTCTGAGGTTATTTTGCCTGACTAGGAAAAAACAGCAAACCTATAGTCGAGTCATGACAACTTTTCCCTTCGGGCCACAGAAAACAGGGAACAGAGGGAGGTCTTAGGAGACCCAGCTGAAGGGCAGGACAAACAAACTCCAAACTTGGTGCCATCGGGGCGATTCCGCTCGTGGAGATCTTAAGAGGGCTGGGTCGAGCTGCCCTGGTGGGTTTCCGAGACAGTAAGTCATTACGGGAGTAGAAAGCCGTATCTTCTCCCTGAGGAGTGGCTGGTGGTTTGGAACTGCTGACCCCAATGTGTGGCCATCACACCACCAGGGCTTGCCAACAGGCAGGATTCACCTTCTTTTGTGGAACCCTTCTTGCTCAGGTTGTATCAAGGTGACTGACCCACGAAGGCAGAGGCGTGAGTGTGCTGATACAACCACCAGCCCACATTCAGAGAAAAAGTGGGGCCCAGCCAGGTGGGAGGGGAGTCTCCCTTGAGCTCCGGGAGGAACGGAGACCTGGCTGTGGGCTCACTGCTTTATAACCGGGCGAGAGTCATGGAGGTGGCGATCGCAGCAGCCAAAGGAGAGACCCGTGAGACGAGAAAAAGAAAGGTGTTTACCCGCCTTTCCCACACAGAGGCTGGGAGGAATTTTCAGTTTTAACGGAAAAGAGAGCTGTAAAGGGAATTGTTGGGCAAGGTAGTCTCAGCAGTACCGATTCGGACACTCCCCGACCTCGGGCTACCGTGGAAGTGACTTGCTGAACCCACAGACGAGTGTCCCGGGAGCAAAGTGCCCCTGGGAAAGCTGTGCCCCGAGAGTGGGCACGGACCCTCATGGCGCCCCTCCCTGCTAATGGCCCTTCTGCCCAATGACATCACAAATTCACCTGTAGCCGTCTATTTTGTTCTCTTGCTGGTGAGGAATAGGAACTCATGTAAATTGGTGAAGGTTTGCTGGAGCCTGTAAGAAAATATTTTATGATGTTAAAATGTGTGATCATAACTCTGTCCAATTAGGCTTCGTGGTCCCTGCACTGGACGGCCGAGTCCCTACTGGCCCGGCATCCCTGGATCTAGCCTGGCACTGCAGACTGTGAGGCCGTGGCCCGGCATCCCTGGATCTAGCCTGGCACTGCTCACTGCAGGGCAATTCACCAAAACAACAAACTGACTGCCATGGAGTCCATTCTGACTCCTATCGACCCCACAGGGTGTCAGTCTCTACAGGCACTGATGGCCTCATCCTTCTCTCACGGAGCGGCTGGTGGGCTTGAACTGCTGACCTTAGGTTAGCAGTACAAGGTGTAACCCATTACATCACCAGAGCAACCAGAGCTAGTGAAATGGCAAAGTCAGCTGTAGGAGTGCTTCGCACACAAAACGTTTCTTTCTTAGGCGTGGTTTCATCGTGGGGAACGGCTGCTGGCCATCCTTTTCATCACAAACCGCCGTCTGGGGACTGCTGCTGCCCCTCGGCCGAGCGTCCAGGCCACAGCACAGGGCAGGGAAAGGGCCAATGAAGGAAGGCGCGACTCTCCAGAGCCCCAGGTTTCGGAGGGGCAGCACAGGCATGGTCAGGCCGAGGGGCCACAGCCATGTTGAGCCAGGTGGTAGACAAAAACAACTTGGAAATATGACCAGCGTCGCCCAGGGCCGCTACAGGCGCTTGATGGTGCACTGGTTAGCTGCTTTGATTGTGAAGGCTCATGAAGGGTTCTGTGTTTTTTTTTAAATGAGGAAAGAGGCACGTACTTGAGGCAGATTCGTTTACTGATGTCAGGGAAGGAGCTACAGCAGGGCATGTAGAGTAAAGCACATGCCTTTTCAAAACAAAGCAGGCTGCTGTCGAGTCAGACAGAGCCACTGCACACGCCTGTGTGCGTCCTTGCAGAGCTCCGTGTCTGAAATGTAGCCTCTGCAATTTCCGAGCTATCAATTGCCACAGCAACAATGGTCGATGCGTAAACAGTCCTGTGACATCACCGTTTCAAAGACAACCGCACATCTGAGACTGCTCCCTCTGCAGTAGTTAAATTACCACCACCTTTTATTTATTTCGTGCTAATAAATAGGTTCATGGGGGGAGGCGGTGCCTACTGCCTTGTTGAAGTCTGCTGTAGCTATGATGGGTGAGATCTGAGAGTGGGGACAAGGGGGGTCTCGGGCACCCCTGGGGCTGGCATCCTTTGAATACATTACAGGCAGTACCTCGGGGACGCTGCCGGACAGCGCCAGACCTCCGCAGGAATGCAAATGGCATGGTTACGAAGCAAGCCGCAGGTCTCTTTTGGTTTCCCAGCATAGATAAAACCTATGTGTACACTACATTGTCATCTAGTAAGTGTGCAATAACCACTGTGAAAACGCTGGAAATACCCAGAGAATTACCCAAGTGTGACTCTAAGTGAGAGCACGCCGTTGGGGAAAATAGCATGAGAGACGTGCTCGACCTGGGGCTGCCGGGGCCTTCTCGATCACAGAGGCAGCCTCTGCACCGTCGGTGCCACAGGTGCACAGCCTTCCGACTAGAACACAGAAGTGGGAGCGGTACGCAAGCCTGCCGTTGTTGTGAAAAAGATAACCCGTGTGAGAAGCAGATATGTTGCTCTTCATGCAAACTCTTTCAGGAAAACAAATGCAGCCGATCTGGGGGCTCAGGCTTCCACGGGGGAATAGGCCAGTCGAGGGGCTGCAGCCGCCGCACACACGGGATCCGTGGAGCTGCTGTTCCGTCTGGACAGGGGGAGCGGCTGAGCGGCAGCCTGGGCTCCGTTCTCGCTTGGACAGCCCGGTGCGGTGAAGCGGAGCCCCGCTCGGGGTGCCTGCGTGTTCCAGAGCAGAACTGCGCTCTCCGGGCCTTTCACTGGCTGCCCCTTTGGGACAGGATGGCCAGGCCTGCCTTTGGTGGGACCTCTGGGTGGGCTAGAACCTCCCACCTTTCCCTGGGCTGGCCAACAGGGCACTGTTTGCTACACCTAAGGGTTCCTCGCATTTGGACACAGCCCCCTTTCCATCTGTGACCCCCCCCCATACCACAACACCGGCTTGTCTTACTGAAAGCATGTGGAAAAGACAGCAGGCCCGGAGGTAGGGCACGGGGAGACGAGCACCGGGTTGGCCGTGGGGGGAAAGACATGATGTCTCACCAGGCAGGGGCTACCTCCCAGGCGACTGGACCGGCACCAGGAAGCACGGCGTGTGGATACCACATCATACACATGGCTGGGGTCTTACCAGGGTACAGGCCTTTATGGGCGGCATCCCCTTGGCTATTGTAATACTGCATAGGTGGCTGGGTCCTATCGTATTCAGAGCGAGGGTCTCTGATTCCTAACAGTGCTGGTGAGGAAGAGGTGCTGCCGACTGAGGAGAGGCAAGAGGAGGAGAGAGAAATGAGAAGAAAGATAAATCAGATCAATGCCTGTGGAAAATGCCCACCAGAAAAACAAAGACCACTGATTAGAAATGTCACAGCAGTGGGCGCTGGAAAGGTAGACCGCAGAGGTGGAGAGCAGCCAGACCAAGCCCCTGTGAATGCACCTGTGGCCACCCAAGTCAGCGCCTGCGCCCACGAGCAAGCTGCCCACTTAGGCAAGGGTACCCCGGAACCACACAGGCGGCCGGGCCACCGTGCGTGGGTCGTCGTGACAAAGGTGGCCTTGGAAACCCACTTTCTTGCCACGCAAGAGTTCGACTGGCTATTTTATGATCTCAGCTTAGGTACTTATTAAAGAATCCATTATCCGCTATGTATAGCTCTTCCAACTAGATATTTTATGGTCTGTTTTGATTTCTAATTATTTCAAGAATATCTGCATCCCTCAATGTGTCTGGATAAGACTGCCCAATCATAAAATTTCTAATTCTTTTTATGGTGACCAGCTGTCAGGGAAATTATGTAAGTAAGCCAGTAATCCTGGCTGATCAAAAAGCCCGCAGGGCTGAGAGGCTCCAGCCTTCCCACACCACCACATCTTAAAAAATCATTCCCGCTTGAGCTAAACATGTAATAATAACATATCTATCTATGAATATCCTTTTGGACATTTTCCCTCCCAAGAGAGGGAGAATAGAAACACTGAAACTAATTTTTTTTCCTCACTGAAAAGCAATCTTAAAGCTCACTGTCACGGAGTCAACGCGGCTGCGGAGTGACCCTGTAGGACAGGGCAGCATGGCCCCCGTGGGTTTCAGAGACTGTAACTCTTGACTGAAGTAGGAAGCAAGTCTCTCTCCTGCGGAGCAGCTGGTGGTTTCAAATTGCCGACCTTGTAGTCAGCAGCCCAACCTGTAACCGCTATGCCACCAGGGTGCCTACATTCATTTTGCCTGTACTGAGGTCAACTATAAATGAGAATGGCCACTCAGCCCCTTGAGATACCTGCAGGGAGTGTTCTCCACACCGTGGCCCCAGAGGTGCTGCACACATTGGTGCTTTCAGGGAAAGACTAACTCAGGGATATTTTAAAGTCACTTCACTCACCATTGGGGTTGCTCCATGTTTAATGTGGGGAGCACGTATGGGCAGTATGGAGGTACTACTCACCTTGTTTACATCCTAGAACGTAGCAGGACAGAAGACAAAGCTGTCTGCTCCACTCCCTACCACATCTTCCCCCCCACCCCTGCCACCCCCATCACACCAACAAAGGATTCTACACTAGTGCCAAAGGGATGTATCAGTCTAGAATAACTGGAGACATCAAGTATAAAACAATACCCTGTTTTTGGCCCAAATACCAACAAGTATCTAGGAACATGGGCAGGGGCTGGTCAGCACTGCTCTGGGTGCATCAGGTCCTGAAATCATGGCTTAGCTGTCTGAAAACATGCTTTTGCCAGTACAGGTGCCTTCTGTTAAGCGGCCAAGGCTCTGTTTCCTCTGGCATCTCCAGCCCTGATTTCCTATAGGATTCAGGTATTTTCAGTTAAGGAGACAGCCTGAGGCTCCTCCTGGGACCTCAGCAAGAATGTTGGGGGTTAAAAAAAAAGGGAACAGATCTCTTTTAAGAAAACAACTCCCAATTTAAAAGCTAAAATATTAATATGCACCATAAGAAAATATATATATTTAAACCCTGAGATCAAGGGGTGCCATCCAATTACTTGGCCAAAACACTGGTCTTTTGGGCCACACTTATCCACATGAAGAATAAGACTGCCAGCTACAGTACAGATGAATACAGCAGACGATACCAAGAGGTAGGGATGGTGATTGAAGGCCGAGTGAAAATAAGGTCCTTACAACTTTCCCTGCTTCATTTATTAAGAATTAAACTCATAGGATAGTTCTTGGCTTGGTAGCACTTCATCCTTTCAAGAAAAAGGTAAAAAGAAGTCTAGGTCTCAAGTCGGATTTTCTTTCTTTCCACCAAGAAAGAAAACGGAAACAGAGCGAGGGTCTCAATTCCCAATGTAAAATCCAAGGGGATCCACACGGACCCATCCCTAAGGCCTGTACCTATGGGTTCTGAAGGCGGCCAGGTTTAATTGGTGTGAAGAAGCAAGCAGAGGTTACAGAGCATTCTCCCGTGCTGCGGGGTCCAAAGACTGAGCCCCATAAACGCTGTTTCTAGGAGTGTTCACCAGGAGAGCTGACACACCACTTTAAAGGACATTCTAAATTTATGCCCACTTGTTCTCACAGCTCTATGGAAAGTAACATGCACAGCAACCACTGAAGTGGCGCCCCCTACGGGTCCAGTGAGGGCAATCTCTTCAATCCCAAGTGCCACCATTGCATTCGGAGAGGAACAGATGTTAATAACTGCAAACTTTTGGGAGAAGCACCTTCCTGTCCGGCCAAGAGCCTTTCACATCTGTGGTACCCCTGAAGGTCAAAACACCTTTTCTAACAATTTCTTGGACTTGAGCTCAGGGGCAATCCTACCCCTTCCCACCCCGCCTGTGTCTACTGTGCTTGAGGAAGGGCCCTGTGACACACAGGGTTAATAGAAGCTGCTCAGTGGGGGCCCCAACTCACTTCAAGTGACATTAGGGCACACGCCATACCTGCCACACCTTAGACAGCCTCTATGCAAAACCTGGAGCTCCTTAAAGTGTGATCCTCCACAATCCTGCACATAGATTCGCGGCCCCTCCTCCCACCTGGTGAGGCAGACTCTCAGGACGAGGGCCCTGGGTTACGCTTATGCCCTTTGGCTGGTGTAAATTTGTACCGGCTTTAAGATCGATGGAGGAAAGTAGGTTTGCTGTCTACAATATCGTTAATAATCCCCATAAAGAAGGCTCTTGCTTGATGGGCAAATTTACACACCTCCTGCCCCCTCCCCCCACAGGGTTTGGGGTGGACAGGCTCAATCAGTGCGCGCTCCGTCTTCTCTGGCTGGGAAACCATGCTGTGTCACACAAAAGTTCTCAGGGGAGAGTGACGTTTACCCACTGACCTGACTGCATGACGGGTGACATCTGTTGGTTGGTGGTAGACAGGGAAGGATGCGATTTGAATCGGTCTCGCTCGAGTGTCGACACAGGTGTAATAAAATGGTTCTGATTCCACCCATCCTGTGGAGTTACAAGAGAAAAAGGGAATCTCTCACAATGAATAATGGCATTCCATTACAATACATGATTATGAATGCATGCTCCCAGGAATGCTAATTGTGCCGGAGCTATTCTTGTACATTACCTTCTTATAAATGCTCCGGAGGTCCCGGTATTGCCACAATGTATTCAAGACCTGGGCTGCGGCCTTCACCACTTTTAGAGACGACCTAGGGAAAGAGGGGGGCTGTAGTGAATGCGAGTGGCCAACCCCAGGCTCCCAGTTAGGAGAGCCAGGCTGCAAACCAGCGGCCAAGAGGCCTTCTCTCTGGGGACCACAGGGCCTGGGGGGCTGCCTGGAAAAGAACACCAGAGAACAAGGTGCGCTGGGAGCCAAGCTCACGCAGAGCTGGCCAGACTGTGGCCACCAGGCACCCTGCTGTGTGGAGGAGCTGAGCCGAGCCCTAGCCCTCTAAGTGGAGGACTGTTTTCAGGGGCCACCCCCAGCCTCCCTGCCCCCCAATGGTCACCTTTTTAAAAAAATTGTTTTATTAGGGGCTCATACAACTCATCGCAATCCATACATACATCAATTGTGTAAAGCACATTTGTACATTCA